AGAGAGAGAGAGAGAGAGAGAGAGAGAGAGAGAGAGAGAGAGAGAGAGAGAGAGAGAGAGAGAGAGAGAGAGAGAGGAAAGAGAGAAAAGGAGAGAATACGAGAGTGAAAATAGGAATGAGAGAAGATAGAGGGAGGACAAGTGTACATCGTAAATTCCCTTTGTCCGACCTTCTCAAGCGGACGACAACCCGCAGCGGGCCGCGGTTGTTTCCTTCTGAGCAACGGCACGATCTTTGCCGCTGAATGCCAAGACTAAGACAAATTTGTTTATTTGTGACAGACAACAATGAGAAAGCCGTTGGTTCGGTCTTGCGCAAATTTGACGCTGAGTGAGAAAAACACCTGCAAAGTGATCGCCTCACCTGTTATTTGACAACTTCACGGATGTCTCTGATGTGTTAACGTTAACATAAATTGTTTTAATTTTTTTTTCTAATGTTTCCTAAAATAGCATATTGGAATTCATTTGTTCCGCATTTAAATATAAATCAAACGAAACGTTTTTCAAATTCAGAGCTACAAGCTTGTATTAGATTAGTTTAAATTGATTTTGAGGGTTGAGGGCTCAGGCTGGACTAGACTGTTACATTGTCTAGAAATTTGTATGTCATCCTAGTCAATGTTATTCTCTCTCAGGCAAGATTTATGTGGATACGCGAAAATTCGAGATTTGGGTTATTTCTACGCGCGCGCAGCACAGCAGTTCCTTGTCGCTCAAATACCCGATTTCGTTTGCTTATTCAGAAGGAGGAGCTGCATCACAACGCCACTGCCGGGGTAGTTCTCTCAGATCACTCGCTGGTGCTGCAGAGCATAACTCGAGAATCCGCCGGAGGATACACCTGCATGGCCGCGAACGTCGAGGGCCGCGCCAAGTCCAACGTAGTCAATCTCGAAGTTATGTGTAAGTATGTTTTACGCGCACTTGCCCGACGATGAGAGAGAGAGAGAGAGAGAGAGAGAGAGAGAGAGAGAGAGAGAGAGAAAGCCTGAGTGAATGAGGGAGAAAGGGTGAAAACCCTCGTGAAAGCGTTGGTTAATGGCCTCGGTGGCACGGCACTTCCTCCCTCACGATGTGAAACGCCGCTAGTAGAACCGGTGGTTTTGCGCCGTCAGTTTCTTCTCGCTATTCGGCGACCGATTCGAAATTCCCTGAGATTGAAAATAAAAAAATTTGAAGAACTGGATTTGGATTAAAAGTAAATATATGATGAGACGATTTAGAAGCAAAACGAGAGATAAAATCAAGATGATTCGGATACGCGAAACGTGATATACGGGATTCAGATCTCTCCTCCGTGCGGCCCTTACCTCGCGGCTGACCACAAACCGACCACTACTACTTGTCCGATATTTCACGGAATATCCACGCTGTCGCGTAAATTCCCGCGCTCCGATTTTGCAGTATCGGAAAGTATAAATAAAACGGCCAGTTTTACGTCGGCGGTGGGCCCCCGCAGGGAATAGTTATCGATCTTTCATCCGTGGATCGATCTCCTCGCAGCCACGTTTAATATATATATATATATAAAACGTTTATGTGAAAGAATCACACGGAGCCAGAACTCTTGTCCGCCGCGTGTTTCATTGCGCTAGTGCGCCAACGTCCGAATATTTTTCGGTAATTTAACGCATTCGCTCGAAATGCCGCAGCGTATTTTTGCGTATTTTTGCGCGGCAAATGTTGTCGCAAGTCGTAACTTTTTACCGCCTTATCTGGCGTGCGTCGATTTAAAGCTCGGTGAAAAAAACAGGCTAGCTTGAAATATATCGTGCGCCATCTTTATCTTATCATTCGTGCATGTATAGCTGTAAGTGACAGTTCTCCAAAACGATAATAATGATATGTCAATTCAGTGAACCGGCACATATAATTGCCAATTAAATTGTCTAATAAATCATGGGTCAACTTGCGGTGACTTACTTCGCATGTATTTTGGTTAACCAAACACGCATAGCTCGTATTATTCCATGTATTATGCTAAATTTAATATATTGCATGCAAACGCCCTTGAATATACAACGAGCATTTAACTAGGTGTTTAGTTATTAATATGTTAATATAATACCTATTATATCTAAATAGTTGGAAAATACGTTTCATTAAGAAAATTTATTTCCAAGTTAGGTCTTTGTTAATTTAAAGATCTTGTCAATTTCCCAAATATCAAAATTAAGATTCCCATTGATATATTAAAATAAAAAAATTAAAAAAATCTGATATAAAAATTCGTGACTTTACATTATTTTTAACGTCACGTACATTCATTTTGTTTTGATAAAAACAATGACGGTACGCTCTTGGTTACATTCCCGATTCGGAATTTATACTTGTCTCGTTGTACATTCCGCTTTTCTCTCCTTCCCTCGTTTGCCACGTGCATCTCGATCGTATTGTTCTCGTGATTTCCTGCTTGGAATACGTAGTAAGGTGCCAAAATCCATACGTTATGCCGCAGTCGCGCCCGTTTGCAAGCACGTGCTGAACTCGGGCGGAGGCTGGAGGCATCAGAACGCCACCCCGCCGCCGTTCAACATGCCCGAAGAGGTGCACGGTGCCCTCAAGCACGAGACCATAAGTTTAGTTTGCGAGGTCGAGGCCAGCCCCACCAACGTGACCTTCCATTGGACCTTCAACAACAGCGGCGACCTCAGCGACGTTCCGTCCACCAAGTTCACCAACGAGGGCACAACCAGCAGGCTTAATTACACCCCGTTAACCGATATGGATTACGGGGTCCTGGGTTGCTGGGCCAGCAATTCCGTCGGCCACTCCAAGCAACCCTGCCTCTATCAAATCATCGCCGCAGGTTCGTGCGAGTTTAGTTGCTACCCCTTTTTTGCCTTAATTGTTAGCTACGAAGAAACGTTCGAAACTCTTGGCTAATGACGTGGAACACATATAAATTGCAGTAACGAAAAACCTGGTTGGAGAATAATATTAGTTTGCGAATCACAAAACGCGATCTATCTTTTTATATATCTTTTAAACGTTTTGACAAACGTTCTATTAATTTGATTAGAAAGGATGGTATTAGATATATTGCCGCTCGATATAAATCGTATTTATTTTTGCTCTTCCAAACTCAATTTTTATGTCAGAACTGATCTGTTTCAATCTATATTTGTTTGCACAACTCAAAATACTATTAAACGGAGAACATATGTAAAAAAAAAAAAACAACGAAGCAGATTTGCAGAATCTATAAACTATCGGTTGCCAGCGCGCAACAAATATTCAACTTGCAATAGTGCAACTCCGGCTTTTGCTGGAAAATTGTTTATTGGTTTAAATATCTCTTGGCGACGCTCATGCGATCGTATGTTTCACAAAAATATTAACCTGTTAACAGGTATGTTTCTAGAATCATTAAAATTAAAAATGCAAAATTAGTACATAGATGATTAAATAATCCTTTTATTCTAGAGCATTCAAGCTTTTAATTATGTTTGCCATGTTTTTTAGTCGGAAAATAAACAAAATAGTGAAAATCTTCTCATATGTTGCGTGCATGAACTTCCGATTTTTATCGGTTTGATAATACTTATTTCTTGCAGAGAATAATAATTTTTAATTATTATTTGCGCCCGTAAAAGTTACAGAATAATGCAGATTTATCTTTCGTATTTTCATGTCGCAAAATGTGTTTCCTGTTTAAATCTAAAGCAGTCTGTTTAACGCATTTAACTATTTATAAAACGGCGAACAGACCTCTCCCAGAGAGTGCGACAATATTATCTATTCGAGATACGTGTTCCGCCTGATTGCTATTCATTATCAATTGTTATACCGCTCCGCATTCACCGTACGCGTTATTATTATGTGTACAAATGTTAATCCATAATTAGCGAGGACGCAACTATTATTGCATCCGAATAATTTAACAGTTTATAGCGCCGTAATTAAAGCCATCTTTTAATTAATTTTGCAATTAAGTAACATAATACCCGCAGAGCCATATTATAAGCCGACCACAATAACTTATGCATCGCGCGGGGATAAATATTTGCAAAACCGGTCTTTCCAGCTTTTCAAAATTCAACATTATCGATCGCGTATTTGCAACTGCACAGATTACATTTCCGCGTTTATAGTGAAACGCGAAATTTTCAACCTCGCTCGAAATCCATTTCTTTCCTTACGAGGATAGAAGAGGAGAGAAGTTCCTGGGTAGAAGGCATTCTACCACCAGCGCGTCATATTTTTCTTAATCCGTATTATTATAAGAACTGCTTTATATAAGGCACGAACTAATACACATCTCTCCAACGAAACAGATTAAAACTTGCAGTGCCAAGCACATACGCCTTTCCACTCGTGCCGCGATTCGCGCGGCTTCCGTGGAACGGTCGCGGAGGAGAATTAAGGAGAGGAGAGGCAGAAAGAAGGGAAAAAAGGGAAAAAGAGAACAACGCGACGTGGCACGACGAGAGACGCCACGCTGAAATTCGCCCGCGCGTCGGTCGCGCGCTTTTTTTGCGGGAATTTAATGAAAACCGTAATTGAATATGTTCATTACGAGGTATAACGCCTGTCGCGCCGTCGACCGTCGTGCCGGCTCCTCCGCGCCGACCGGAAAAGTTTTGTCCGCTTCGCGCGGCGGCGGTCCCTCTCGGCGTTCACCCGCGACACCGCCGCGTCGCGTCGTCCGGACGGACGAGAGAATCGATTTTGGTCCACGGGATGCGATGTCGCGGCGCGGAAACGTCGCGCGGACTATACTTTCTCCGCTTTGGCACGGATCCGTCCGGCCGCGGTAATTGGACGCATAATTTATTTCGCGTGCCGGCCCGATGTGCTCCTTACGTAATTAGGCCAGGCGGCAGTTTTCTCACGCGTAGCGTGAGTCCACCCTGGACTAGTGGTGGACTCTCCCTTTCGCGTCGATACCGATCGACAACTTTGCAATACACGATCCAAATGAATGTTGCTCGTATATGTAATATTTTGATCGTGTATTTGCTATAGAAATGAGTATTAATCAAATGTAAAATATCCCGGAAGTTTTCAGTTTCAGATTTAAATAAAATATAAGAATAACTTTGAGTAGAATCTTCGTTATTTTTGTTTGATCCTTTTTCTTTATTGCGTCTCTCCCACGTGTTTTTACAAGCAAAATCTTGTTTAGTTTGTTACATTGTGTTAAATAAATTTAATCTCAGAGAACGATTGCCAATCCTGAATGTAAATATTAACGGAGATGAATAATTATATCGAGATTACTTTCTGTTGTTTCACGAACTTTTCGGTATCAGCGGGGGCGGCAGTTTGCGAACGTTTCTCGTCAAATGCGAGCGACAAACGTAATTCTCAGTGACGCAAGTATTCGAGGAGAACGATAACACGGGCGCTGTTACTTCTTGATACATCTTCTCCTGCAAGCCGGCCTCGAAGAGATTGTAAACAAGGAGCGCACGATGCCAAGATACCGCGATGTAACGTGTAATCTCTGCGTTAAGGCGGCCACGAAGGAGCGGAGTGATAAGGTCGACCTCGATTCGTCGCGAATGTGCTCTCGGCTGTAGCGGTCATAAATCCATTGTAAACGCGATACGCCCCAGAACCGTCATCGCTTCCTTATATTCTTAGGAAGGAAGAATTTCGAACGAACAAAAAAATTTATGGACAAACAGCAATGACTTGGATTTTGCGAGACGTTCTAGATAAGAATTAAATATAATTTCCAATATAATTAATATGACGTAATTCGCGGAAGTAAGACACATGATTGTCAAAATGTAAAGTCTCAATATTTTTCCAGATAATGACTTTTAATCACGCGTGAATTCTTAATTGAGCTAACTGTCACGGGATACTTCACTTATTATTCTATTGTTCTTTTTTTTTTTTAAAGAATTATTAGAAAAGGCCAGACTAACGATAAGAATATATACGTACATAATAAAATATATAAACAATAATTAAACATCTTTAATTAATTAGATCTTTAAAGTAAATAGGTAAAATCATATTTTTTCAAGGGAATATTATTTTAGTCGGAATTTAATTAAAACTATAATAATAGAGGGAGTTATAATGTTGAAGATTGAAATAGAGTCACAGTAATATTAAACGAAATTTTCTCTGAAAAATAATTAGCTAACGTCGAAAAAATATACGGACGAAGCAAATCCGAGTACTATAAAAGCCCGTATAAATTTCCTCTAAATTCGACGTAATTTTGTATTTAAGGAAAACGAGAGATAATTATGAATTACCGTCTCTCTCTCTCTCCCGCGGGAACGGAAGCGACGGTCTCCAGTTATACGCGATATGACCACGGATAATAAAGCAGATGACGAAAAAGAAACGCTTTAACCGACGCTTTAATCCGCAGCCGCCGTCTGTGAGCAACGACGGTACTATTAGATTCCCTCCCGCCGGACTATTTTCTTCCGTTTTGCACTTTCCGGGAGATTAGCGATGGCAAAAGCGATGGCAAAAGCAATTGCGCGATGCACGGCGAAAAATAAATGCGGCGAAACCGTGCAATAATGGCAGGAACACGCGTCGACAGGGCGCGCCGCCATGATTTTTCGTATCCTTCCTGCTGCACTTGCAACAATGCGACGTTTATCGACCACGATAAACTTTTAGAGAATTCGCGAGAGAAAAATCGGTTATCATTAACGCTACCTCCAGTCCAGTGTTTTCGGGAAGATGGGAAAACCTTAGCTCAATAGAGGTTTCCTTTTCATGACAAATAAAAGTGATGCTCTCCATAACAAATAAAAGTGATGCTCATATTCTTGTATTAGCACCGTAGATTTTATTATTTTATAAATGTGATAAAAAATGAATGATAAAGAATGTGAGTCAAATTTAGTTTTAAATACATTATGTCAGTTTTTAATAGTTAAGTAAAGTACGTGCAATAAGATCATGTATTAATATTCTTTCGAAGAAATGACATAGGAAATGGACTAATATAAACTAGTCGTTATAGCCATATTAAAATGAAATTAATTTTTATTGTCATTAAAGTGTTTTTTTTTAAAAGAAGAGAATTTTATAGAAATTTTTGTTTTTGAAAAGTTGATATTATCCGGTTGTTGGTAATGAATATTTTTAATATTCTCAAGAAGAAGAAAACGATAAAAGAGAGCATTATTGGGAGTTGGTAGAATGTTTTAGTTGTGTTTGTATAATGTAAATTTTCAATTAATGTGTCATCGACATAGTCGATAATACACAATAATTTTATAATCCTGAAAACGGACCGGCATCGCAGCATAATTTCCAGGGAGCAATAAAACAAAGTTTGCACATCCCATGGCAATTTCTCTCAGTTTCTTCTCATTGTCACAATTTTCGTGTGTAAAATTAAGTTCAATGCTTTTGTTGTAAAAAAAGAGAAAAGAAGAAAAGGCACAGGCACGCAACATATTAAAATAAAGCTTAAATAAATGGAGTTTCGTAACGAAAGTATAGAATAGCATATATAATGAAACGTTACTAGTCGTTAAGAAAATACAGAAATAATTAAACAAATAAAAGAATAAATTATATTAAATAATATAATATTTACATGAAGCAGAATATATAAAAAATTTTATATATACCATTTTAAATTTCTACATAATAATAAATATTTCCGATTGTTAGTTGTTTGAATAAATATTATAAGGTGGATATTTTTATTAATATGTGTGGAACATACGAAATAATATTGGCAATGTTTTCCCAAGATTTGATCGATATCTCTGTTTTAAAAATATGATATATATTATTGATACAAGTTAAAAAAATCGAAAAAATTATGGAATATTTTTTACATTCGCAAGTTATATAAACTGTTGTATTTTCTTAAAAAATAAATTTCTGTTGATATTTTTTATATTTATCACATGCGTGGAATGATATTAAAACTGAAAAAATTTTTAAAGCGCACAAGATCAATATATAAAAGATAAGATATGAGATACGCAAAGAGTAGAATGCAAAGATGAGAGACAGAATGAGAAGGATCTCGTTTGAAAAACGGACACGTATTTCCTTTGAAGGCGACTTTGCGATCTCCCTCGCTAATCGGGGATCGCATTTTCTCTCTCGCTCTCGCCATCTCCAAAGTCGCATCTTCTTTCGCAGGCAGACCTTACCCATTGCAGAACTGTACGACCTACAATCTGAACGGTTCCTGGGTGAGAATATCTTGCGTCGAGGGATACGACGGTGGTCTACCACAGAAATTCGTCGCCATCGTGGGCAAACGACGTCTGGAATCATCGATTCCTTCCTGGGAGTTTCAGATGCTCAAACCGGCGAAGGTCGCCCTTTACGCGGTAAACGCGAAGGGTTCGAGCGACCCGTACGCCATAGAGGTCGTCTTGAAAGGAGTAGCCAAGTTCACCGGTAAGTCTTCACCAAATCCAATCAGGATGATAATCGAAGTGGTGAGATAACTCGCTCAAAGTGCTTCGCCGCAAAGGGCGCCACGATTTTAGGGCGCTTGATAATTAACGATGCGATCCGAAAATAAATAACCGCTCGTCGCGGAATCTAGCATTAGTAACGCCAAACTTTCGTTTTATTTTAACCGACTACTCTTGTCACTTTTGAAAAGAAAAACTAGGTCAAATAATTTAGTGTTAAACTATAAATATCTCATTCCGAGTGTCTGCCCTCTAAGTAAGTTGAAATAATACGAGTATACTTTCCTTGCGTTACAAAGTGTTGGAATAAAATGTACATTCTTTTCTATACGTGATTTTATATAGCTCGTACGGTTGACACGGTAAGAAGAGGTCATAAATTATACATATAGCTAAAAATCTATGGAAAACAACTGGAGAAAATTCCGAGGAGCTCTCCTTAATTCTTTCATTCGCGATGCAAATAATCCTGAGTGCATAGAATCGATATCCCGAACCCGCACTGGAGCCAAAGCTTTTTTCCTCGTTTCATCGCGCGCTCTTTATTCCGTTTTCGAACCCCGGCGAGCTGACGTCCGCGTCAAATCGCAGCTTATCGATCGGCCAGCCGACCGTTCGCCTGTTATTCAAACTTCGGCGAAAAATGCGACGTGGTAAAAATAGCGCATATTGCGTGGGGAATCCACACTCTAGCGACTCCTGTGTATAAACTTCCGCATTGTTAAAAAAGAGTGCCCGATAAAAAAGTGTGTACTGTAGAAATTACAGTGATGAAGAGTTCCGCTTTGTTTAACTACAAAAGATTCCGGGCGAACGTGGTTTAATAAAACGGTGCACCCGCAAATTCCGTATATATCCAGCGAATCGCAGTCCACTTTTTTTCTATAGGATGCAGAAAATGTAATTATTGTAAAATTGGTTAACATGAAATTTTTATCATACATTCACATATCTCGCGAACCGATAAGTTATATAAAAAGAAATTGGGCCCAAAAAATCATACGCATTAAACGAATTTATTCCACTGAAGTTCTAATACAGAAATTATAGAAAGTTACAACTGTTTCCGAACGTGTGTCGCAAAAATATGTCGTACCGCCATTCATAAAAGTTCTCAGCTGACGCGTTGATAACTAACGTTTTTCTCGCTCTTGTTCGCATATTTGGGAGACAAGCGCGTCATAGTTTTGTCCTTCAGTTTAGATGACCGTGACGTTATCTCGACCGGAAATGCTGGCGGCGACATGCAAATGATCCCTGTTGAACAGTTCGTCGCGCGCGCTAGGTTAACCCTGGTCTAGGGCTCGTTGCCGGTTTCGCTGAAACATGCGCGGTCGACCCTCGCGTAAAATTTATGAGCGTCAAAATTTATGAGCCATTATTATGCATTCTGCTCTCCGCCACGTCCGCATCGCGTCCGCTCTCCTCCATTTTCCCGACACCCGTTGGAAGCACGATTTTCGCTAATCGAAAACGATCGTCGCTTTCGTTAATCCTTGAACAAAACATCCAACCGCAGAGATATGATAAGAAGTAAGCCAAATGCAACTCCTGAATTATAAATATATGATCCCTTTTGACATGTAAATCGATTTTGAATCGATTTTGAAGCGTCATGGCTCTCTCTCTCTTGAAAATTTGAACGGCAATATGTTAATCTTCAACAAATATCACGGCGATTGATTACGGTACGCAATTAGAATTTTACTAGTCTAAATTTGAAATTAATTGATAGTGAGATAAAAAATAAAATTTTGAGATTTAAAAAAGAATTATTAAGAAAGAAGTTAATTATGGGAATTTTGCTGATTAGATATTGCATTAGTTAAATAATACACTTTAAATAAAGGATGATTAGAGAAATATCATTTTTTTCTCGAAATAATTTGAGCTATAAACGATTGTACATCTTTATTTAGATTTTAGTTATATTTCAGCAGCGTAGACGGAAGAAAGGACGTCGCATTTAAAAGTATTTGCTTTGTAACTTATTCTCTAACTTGTCGGGAAGGTCTTCTATCAATGGGAAGCATCGCGAAATCGAGATGCAGGCCGCATACCGCAGAGCCTCGTTTTAATGCAAAGCAAAGGGACGCAGTCCTTCGTTACGGACTAAGGGAAAGGACGAGCGTGCTCTCCTACCAATCCGATGTCCTTTAATGTGTTTCCTCGGTGCTTCGTTCCTATTCAATTACACCTTGCAACCAATGGCTGAGAATAGATGCGCTTTGTGCTTTGTTAATTAGCATTTAACTGAAACTTGATTGTTAATTGGAAATAAATTAGCTGGCCAGTTGTTTGCGACGTAGTGCCGATGCGACGCGCAGCTTCAGTGGATACCAGTTTACAAGGTGATCGAATTACAGCTCTTGATACGACGCTCGCAATTTATATCAAGTTCCGGTTTATATCAAGTCCCGAGAAAACATTCCTCTCACGCCTGAACCCCTGATAGACTTGCTCTTACGGTGAAATTTTTATTAAATGTTACCATATCGATATCTTCCACGTATTTTGTAGATGACTAAAATAAATGGATTATAAATTTATAGCTTTATAGCAAATATTGTATTATCTTTCTTTCCAGAATTTTGCAGAGAACACTGACGAAAACGTAATTTGAGATTCAGTTAGCGAGGCACCTAATGTTGAAAATTTAAAAATTGCGAAAGAAAATTCCGATTAAAAAATTTATAGCCATAAGGATTACTGGATATAGGGCCGATTACTTCGCGTAATCTTCCGACTGCGAGCGTGTGAGATCTACAATCTTCGGTTAATTTCGAGCGAACTTTAACAGAATCTTAATATAAGGTTTCAGCTCTGCCGCGAAATGCGCTATATTAAGACACTTATAAACTTTCAAATTACGTTTGCAGCGAGAATTCCTGAAATTTTCCCGTCTTTATCGCATAAAAAGTCTGACAGAAGCTCATAGAAATATCTTGATAATTGCAGAAAGTTTATCTGTCCTCGTACGATTCTTATACGATTACTATTACATAAAATTTCGCACCTCAACCGCTTTTTGGAGTCAAGTCAGTCGAAAATAATTCGTCGTCGATTAAATTTTTGTCGAGTAAGCCAGTTTCGTCGGCGAGGCGGCTTAACCGAAGAAGCTGAAAGAGCGCGGGTAACTTTAGGACGCCCCGTGTACACACACACGTACACACACGCGCTTACACGCCACCCACGTCGCGATTTAAGCCGAATGATTAACGACGGCGCGGAAACGACTGCGAGTGTCGGGCGCGTCGTTCCCGCAGAGCCGGAGCTATTCCTAATCCGCCGCGCAGCTCTCCACCGCCCTCTCGCCGCTCTCGTCCTCTCGTCCTCTCGTCCTCTCGCCTCCCTCGCGCGAAACGAGCGACTCACAAATCAGCCGCAGCGTTAGACCACCGTAATGCAACCTGCCACGAAGTTCGGAACGATCGACTCCGGATGCCGCGCCTTAATTGGAAACAGATTACGCTCGTGCCGACGCGCGGGAGTCTCTGCCGAGGGGATGCCGGACAAATTGGAACGCCCGGCCGCGTCTGATCCGTGGCTGACCGCAACTACTGCGCGAAATCTTAAGCGCCGCGCGCGATTTGTCGTGCCGATTTGCCTGTCGTGCCTGAAGAGGAGAGCAATAGGGAAATACATCCTCATCAAATGGATGAACGGACAGATTGATAACTTGAGAGGAAGGGAGAGAGGGATAGCTTTGGTAATATATCAAAAAAATAATAATTTTAGAAATATGTATAGGTATGCTAGTTAGTTATTTAAATAATGGTTCAGGTAAAAAATAAATACCTCTTTAATAATATTTGTGTGTGTGAATCAGCAATGATAATCTAGCAGCGACGATAGAAATACAGTATAAGATTTATAAAATATTTTTCTTCGGTATTTTAATATCCCGACACCAAACACAATACAGAACGAAAGCAGGAAGTTGGCACCTCGTTGCATTCATATTTTTACACTTGTCAGAACTTCTTCTTGAAATGTGTGGCTGCAGAACTCGTTAAAGAAGAGCCGGAATTCTACATCACATTCTGAAAATGGAATACTATCTTCGCGAAAGTAGACAATAGCGTTTGCATTAATGATAACAACGTCCGTGTAATAAATAGGCGTACATTTTCTCTGATAATAGCGACGTACCAGAAATACACTATAAAACGGGTCTAAATTTACATGATCTTTATTTGAGGGAGTTTCAGAGAGGGGTTTCCATTAAAAGTTATTTACGAGCGAGGGGACTAAGAGAGATTTTCGTTTATAGGCGAATCGACGTCCTCGGTTGACATGTCACCGATCCTGATTGGACTTGGTGGCACGGCAACCGGCCTGGGGTTAATCGTGACCGGTGTGCTAATGGCACTCTGGAGGAGGCACGCGGCCACCCCGGCGAAGCCGAAGCCGCCGCAGCAGCCTAGCATCGCGACTTTCGCGGGGAAGGGCGAGGAGGAAGACGGCAACCCAGATCTCATACCCACGACGGCCTTGACCAATCATCTCACTGGTAAGCTTGCTCGATGTGTCGATATACGATTAAAGCACAGATGGACTAAAGGGGATTAACGGAAGTTATTTCGAAACTAT